TCCACTGCACTCTGCGTTTCCAAAAGACGCAGAGGCAGAATATCTTCGCCAGGAGCGCTTGATCCTCGAGCGCCTGGGTCTCTCCCACCTTGGAGGTGCGTGCATGCGTGCGTGCGTGAACGTGCGTGTGTTTAGCGGCCTTGTGGCACTGCAGCTACTGTACTTGCAGTTGTTGCTGCACGTGTTGTTGGTGCGCATGTCAGTCGCCACACATGACGAGAAATGGGCTCACACACCTGCACACACACTCGCACACGCGCGCTCGACGCACGCACACGTCCATGCACACACACTCGCACACGCGCACACGCACAACGGACGTTGACACAGAGAACTACCCGTTCCGCCACGCCCCAAACTCGCCCCACAAATCACAACAGCAGCGGCAACAACAGCAGCACGACCAGCCAGATGACAACCACAATCACGACGATGATGATGATGGCGGTGGTGGTGCCCATTTTCCGCCGAATGCGGTGCCGCCAACACAGGGGCCGCTGTGGCCACAGGGCGGCACGAGCTCGACTGAATCCAGTCCCGTGCGGCCGCGACGGACACAGCCATCACAGCCACCGTCATCACACCAGCCGCACCAACACCTTGACCAGGAGCATGCCAGTGGCCTGTCTTCGCACAGCCGCCGCCCATCGCAGTACAAGAGGAGAAGCAGCGGTGTGGACAGACGCGCACGCAAACGCGCCATGATCGTTTCTGGACAGATGTTCTCGGATGATGATGACGACGGCGACGACGATGATGATTTTGATGATATGGGAGCCACACGTGTTGGGCGTGGCGGCGGCGGCCGTGGGTCTGGTCGTGTGGGGTCGAGGAGAGATGATGCTGCTCGCCCGCCGACGCCGATTGCGTCGAGCCTGCGAGAACCTGGAGGCGCGGCTGGAACTGGTGGTCATGATGACGACGATCACGATGATGACGACGGCAGTGGTCGCAGCAGCACGCCGTTCAGCCAAAAGAGCGCGCACTCACAGGAGCAAGCACGGCAGCGCCGACAGGGACACGTGCCTGCACCCCACGGGCGGCTGGCGTCGCAGCGCGGGCGCGCGGTGGCGACCAAGGCGATGATGAGGAAAATGGGCCCTGGTGGCGTGGGCGAGCTATCGCAATCAAGCGCAGTGACTGCTGCTGTCGGTGGTGGCGGCGGCAACAGGGGAGACGGTGATTGTGGGATGCCGCTGCTGACGCCGGGCCAGAGCTCGTGCGCTGCGGAGAGCGAGAGGATGGCCGTGGGCGATGCCGATGATGATGCTGAGGAGGAGGCGATGCTAAGGATGATGATGGGAGGGGACGAAGGAGGAGGAGAAGGTGGTGGCGAGGACGACGGTGTGGCGGCGAAGGCAGAGACGAGGCAGCCACAGCCACAGCCGCAAGCACCACGCGCAAGAGACAACAACAGCAACAACAGCAACAACAACAACAACAACAACAACAACAACAACAACAACAACAACAACAACAACAACAACAACAGCAACAACAAGAGCAGTGGCGGCGAGGCGAATAACGCTGGCAATGACACCACCACTGCCCCTACCGCTGGCACCACGTCTGCAAACGTGCACGCAAAGTCGCTTGAGCGTGCATTGGATGGGTTGTCGTCGTTTGAGTATGCACGTGCAGACGGAAGTGGCCGACAGCGGCTGCGGCGACAGGACAGCCACAACCGGGGCGGCAGCGATGGCGGTGACGATGGTGGTGGACAGCAGGTCGTGAAGAATGCCGAAAGCAGCGGTGACAAGCACGTTGTCTTTGCAGTGGATGTATCAACGACAGCAGCAACAGCAGCAACAACGGCAACATCAATGGCGACAGCGACAGCAGAAATGACGGCTGGTGTCACGGCAACAGTAGCTGCAGGGAACACGGTTGCTGCTGATCACGAGACCACCACGACGGACACCGCCATGGCCACCACCACCACCACCACCACCACTGCCACTGGTGCCATCGCAACGGCCAACATGAGCAGCGACTTGCTCGACGACGACGATGATGATGGGCTGCTGGAGTTGTTTTTCGAGGACTAGAAGCAAGAGGCGGCACGTATCGCATCCCTGTGTTCATTTGCAGTGTCGAGAACGTGTCATGGACCGCATGTCGTGCACGCATGCGTGGTGTGCGTTCTGGATATCTTGTGGTTTGGCGTGACATGTGACGTGACGTTTCTTCTGTGCCTCTGCTTTGTGTGGCATGTGCATAAATGAACGTATGCCTCATTGGTCATCAAATCACGTGTTTATTGTGCTGAGAAACGCAATCGGAGGCGGGGAAGAGAGAAAGGAGAAGAAGAAGATCGAGGAAGGGAAGAAGTGGAAGAACAGGAGAAGAACACAGAAGAAAGCGGTGTGAAAGAAGGGAAGGAACAGCGCGGGGAAGAGAGGAAGAAGCAGCAGAGAGGAAGAGGGGGCGGAGGCGGCGTGAAAGAAGGGAAGGGAGTGGGGCAAGAAAGCGCAGGACAGGAAAAAAGGCAGACAGGAAGGGGGGGGGGGGAAGAAATCGAGGGAAGCGCATGGAGTGGTGCGCTGCGGAGGACGGGCTCAAGCACCGTGTTCCTGTGCTCAGCTCACTCAAGACACGGTGATGACCTTGGAGAGCGTGGAACACATCTCACAGCCCTCCTTAGGGGAGTAGCAGTAGGAGGCATCAATCGTGTACGTCGCGCTCTCAGCATCTGAATGGAGGCATAGCCAAGGTTAATTGTACATGTGAAGCAAGTCAGACTTGAATGAGTGTGTTACAATGCGGTTTTTTGTGTGGCAGGAGCAGTTACAGTGGGCGGAGCACGCAGAAGTCAGAAGCCAGGTTTGCATCTGTGATGGGACATTAAGCATTCACCTATTCACTCCCTCAACACAATATGCTATGGACGGCATGGATTCACTCACACTGATGAAGCTCGTGAACTTGTTTCAGGAAGGGGAGTGTGCCTGATGTGGTCGAGGACTCAGACCACGAAATGTGGAACGAGAACGTGGTGAGCGTGGGCTACATGTACGTGCAAAGGTGGGTGGGCGTATGGAGAACAGGCATTAGATTCGATGCTTTCACAAAGCAAATGACAATCATGAATCAAGCAGGACAGCTGTCACAGCGTTCACGCAAAGCAGCATTCACACACAAGCCCACGGGACAAGGTGACGGGGCAGGGATAGGGGGATGCTTGTTCAAGCGTTGTTTCACTTACGTCGCAGTCCCCAAACCAGGGGAGCAACGCAACGGCAGCGCGGTCGCCCGGGACGGGCACAATCGTGGAGTTCGCCGAGATGCTTGGCCGGCACATCGGTGGGCACGATGTGCGAACGTGGTTGGCGTTGATGGGAGCGGCCGGGAGGGCGGCCGTGAGGGCGAGCTGCTGGGACACCACTGCCCCCAACAGCAGCAGGGCTGCTCCAAAGCAGCCAGCAAAGGCCTTGAGTAGACGCATTGTTGCAGGACGGAGGAGGGGAAGATGGGAGAGGAGGTGGCTTGGTGCGTTGGCGGAGGCTCCTCTTGGTGTGGCTTGGTGGTTTAGTGGTTTGGTCGCTTGGTTCGAGCTGGAAAATGAACTGGCTCACTGAGCATCCCCCACTTGTATTCCGCTGAGCTGGTAGTGGTCTAGAGTAAGAGAGCTGTGTGTCTCTGTGTGTGTGTGTGTGTGGGTTGGGTTGGGTGGCGTTCAGCACTTGTGTACAGTCACAACTCAGCCGCTGGAGGCGCTGAGACACGAGCAATTCCCCGCCATGTTACTTTGTGCGTGTCACGCCCAAGCTCCAGAAAAGAACAGAGTGAGTGTGTGTGTGTGACAACAGACCAACAAAGAGAAAGAAGGCAGAAGCACACTGCTACACTGAAGACTGGAGCAAGGGGGGCGGGGGTGCCTTTGTCTTCAAGTGTTGCTGCTGGCCACTTTTCACTGCCGCTGATGCAACGATGTCGCTCACTGGCAACTGGAGGTCGGAGGTGACACACACAATAATAAAACCAGACGCAGGCAAGCAGGGACAAAGAAACCAAAGCAAGCGCATTGTTGTGATGTGATGTGACATGAGGACGTCATGTCACTGATCGCTTGATTTGCGGCTGTGGGAGGCGAGTGGACAAAGCGAAGAAAAACAAATTTCAAAAGTTCTGCACAGTCACATGTCTTTCGCAGGAAATCATGGCCAAGTATCCGAGCCTTGTGTGTGAACCGTTTGCTCGTGAACACCCATACAAACACCCACCCACACCCACCCACACCCACGCACACACACAGGTTGTGGACAACTGATCGCCAGATGTGCGCGCGTGTGTGTTCGCCTTGGTTGACCTCAGAGCAAGTTGTATTCATGTGAAGTGGAGTGGAGTCAAGCCGCAGCGACGGCAGCGAGACAGGGAGGAAGAAGGGAGCAAGGGAGAAGGTGGTTGAAGAAACGCCATGCAGAGAGGAAGCCATTGTAACAACAAAACGGTCACATACAGACAGAGAGACATGCAGACAGTACACGCGCGCGCGCACGCAGTAGACAACGGAAGGCGCGGTAGCACACGAAGCGGGCTCACGCGTTACTTGTCTCCATCCCCTTCCTTCTTCTTGTCATCATCCCCCTCCTTCTTCTTGTCATCCTTCTGGGCACTACCGGCAAGTGAGGCCAGCATCTGCAGTTGGAGCAAACACACACCACCAGTACCGGTCGCCAGTGAGCACAGCATCCAATGCATCCCTGCGGCAACAGCAGCAGCAGCAACAACAACAACAACAACAACAACAACAACAACAACAACAACAACAACAACAACAACAACAACAACAACACCAACACCAACAACAAAAACAAGCACAGGAACAACGACAGCAAGCCCCCCCCCCAACTTCAACCACCATCCATCACGCCACGCCACGCGTGTGTGCGCACCTCCTGCACTTGTGCGTCGGATGGATCAACGCCCGGCAGCTCGCCAAGGAGGCCCGTCAGGTATGCCGGGTCCTGGAAGATGTCCATTGCGCTCTCTGCTGCCTCGTCCTTTGGCGGCTCCTGCGGCTTTGCTGCCTCCTCTTCCGCCTTCTTCGCCGACTCATCACCTTCCAGCTTGCTCGCCTTAGCGGCAGGCTCGCTCTCGTCCTTGCCCGTGTCCATCGCCTCGCTGCCCGACGGCCTGCGCGCAAACAGGGCGGGAATAAGTATGATATGGTATGTGTGTTTGATTGGGGCGAACAAGTGCATGCTTGTGCTTGTGCTTGTTCTTGTGTGAGGTGGGGCTGGCAGAGGCAGGTATTGTGTCCATGGCAACGTGAAGGCGCTGACGCACTGCTGATCTTGGAGCGACATCTGCATGGCGTATTGGAGCATCTCCTCCTCCGTCATCGCATCAAAGTTGGGCATGCCTGGCAAGTGAACGACATTAAAGGGCGATGAATGAGTCTCAACTACAGCAGCACAACTGACCGATCGTGAAAACGCGCGATCATTCGGTGACAATGACAGACGCATGCACACACACACACACACACACACACACACACACAAACCTGACACAAACACGATACACGTTATACACAAACAACAACAACAACAACACATACACACATCACAACATACAGATAGAAACAGGCCCTCGCACCTCCTGTGGCTGCTGGGGTCTGTGTCTCTGGCTGGGACGTGGCGGCCTGCTGCTGCTGCTGCTGTTGCTGGGGCGCAGCCTGTGCGTCACCGGTGGCAGCGGTGGTCGCTGCCCCCTCACCCTGCTGCTCCTGCTCCTGCTCCTGGCCGGTTGGCGCCTCACCGCCCTCCGTCTGTGCGCGCTGCTGCCGCTGCCGCTCTTCCTCAAGCGATATCCTCAGCGCCATGGCAAGCTCAGGGTCATTCTCAAGGTCAAGGTCCCCGCCCATGCCTGCAGGCACGCCGGACGGGGCGCTGTGTGTGTGCGTGTGTGTGTGTGTGCGTGTGTGCGTGAGTGAGTGAGTGAGTGAGCGTACATGTGCGCGCGTGTGTATGAGTGAGTGAGTGAGTGAGTGAGTGAGTGAGTGAGTGAGTGAGTGAGTGAGTGAGTGAGTGAGTGAGTGAGTGAGTGAGTGAGTGAGTGAGTGAGTGAGTGAGTGAGTGAGCGTACATGTGCGCACGTGTATGAGTGAGTGAGTGAGAGGAGGTGTCAAAGGGGCCAAGAACACAAGTGCCAGCGAGCACACGGGCATGGGCATGTGGGCAACTTACGCTTCTGTGGCAAACATTGGCGAAGACATGATTGAGTCTGAGAGGCGGCCCGAGCCCGAGGGAACAACAACCAGGTGGCTGCAACCAATGCCAACAACAAGGGTCGAAGAAACGTGGCAGCCACAGCACGGTCAGGTGGTGTTGTGGAGGTGAGATGTCGGCTTAGATGCAGGGCACTGGTACGTGCGCAAGGGGATAAAGCGAGCAAAGGGAGGAAGGGAGGAAGGAAGGGAGGAAGTGAAGGGAAGGAAGACAGGAAGGAAGGAAGAAGGAACTGAAGGGAAGGAAGAGAAGCAGAAACAATACAAGGAAGCAGAAACCGTGGACGCAAGGAGCAAGGGGCGGGGGCACCGCGCACCTGTTGTCCTCCTTGTTGACGGTGGAGATGAACGACTCCAGCTTGGCCTGGTTCACGTCCTAGAGGACCACCGGCAAACGAGCAAAGCGAACCATGCACAAGCGCGGTTGTGAGAACTGCGAGAATTCGCTGAGCTTACGCACTGGGCGGGGTTGGCACACACACACATACAGACACATACACGTGTACAAACATGCCATTTGCAACACGAGCAGCAGCTGACACGCAAAGAGCTGTACCTCTTCGCCAAAGCTGATAATGTCGACGCTGACGTTGCTCTTCTTCAGCTTCTTCGCGAGCGTGGTCAGCTGTTGTCGAACATGGGACACCGTGGACAACGCCATCAGGGCAAGCGAGGCAGCACAGTGGGGCAGTAGCGGTACATGTAGCAAGAGACAACGAGATGAACCACACACTGCCGCCAATACACATCCACACACCCACACACACCCACACACACCCACACACACACACACATACACACCCACCCACACCCACACCCACACCCACACCCACACACCCACACACCCACACACCCACACACCTGCTTTTCGTTGGCGTTGACGGGGCTGCCGACAAACACGATGATGCGCTGACGGTGGTTCTTGGATTGGCGGTGCTTCAAGATGAGCTGCAACCACACAAGGGGCAACACCAGCAAGAGAGGGTGAGAAGAGCGCCAACGTATTGAGCAGAGCGCGTCGCAACAACGAAAAGAGAAGGAAAACAACAGGAAGGACAAGCTCTCACACACACACGCTCACACACGCTCACACACATACGCTCACACACACACACACGCACACACACACACACATACACGCACACGCACACGCACATATTCACGCATATTCACACAGTTCCGCAATGGTGACTGACCTGTGCAACTTGGATGGCGCTGACAAAGTCGCAGGCGCCGGCGGCCTTGATCTCGTGCAGGCACGCAAGCACCTTGCCCTTGTCACGAGTCAGCGTAGACAGCACGTCAATCCTTTGTTGAGAACCATCCCCGGGTGTGCATTGTGCGCGTGAGTGTGTGAGGGCAGATGGGCATGCTCACGCGTACGTTCACACACGTGTGCACAAACCGTTGCACAATCAGACACACGCACACAGGCATATATGTACGTTCACACATACGCCCTCCCCCACGTTCACACCCGCACACACAAGGACGTACTTTTGGCCCATGGAGAGGAGGCCAACGGTGCTCTCTGGGTTGTCGCGGAGTTTGGTGCCTACAACAAGGTTTGCGGCATCGCGTTGCGCCTGCAGGCGGGTCGGCACAAAGTCGCCGTTGCGCATGAAGTCACTGCTGTCCAAGCTGTTTGTCGAAACCAGCGAAAGTCACGTGAGCAGGCGGCGTATCAAGCACGACGGCCGTGTCTGAGTAGTACCACAGCGTACACGCGCACGCGCGCACGGCAGCGCTCCACAACACCAACGTTCATGCGAGCACCACCATCACTTGCCATGAACACAAACACAAACAACGAACGACCGCCAAGATTGTGCGTGCATCTTGCGTCTCTCACGCGTGTACATACCACAGCACAGTTGCCTCGAGCACCATGACTGGTTTTGGGCTGGTGTGTCTCGCTAATGTGACGGATGGGATCTCAGCTCAGCTCGGCTACCTTCACGACTGCTTCCCTGCACACACAATGCTTCAGTCGACACACTTGCAGACTTGATGTCGGTTGCTCTTGCTTGTTCGTCGTTGCTCTTGTCGTCGTCTTTGCCTTCTTCCTTTCGGTTTCTGTCTGTGAGGTGAGCGGTCAGTTATTTTTTTATTTTATTTTTTGTGTGGGGCCTGAGTCAGCGTTTTTTGATGCGGTGCTTGAAGGTGTCGACCTTGGCCTGCGTTGTGTGGCACTGCAGCAGCCACGACGGCCGCACAAACACCAGGCGCGGGTTGTCCTTCAGCGCATCGTCAAACGCAGCGTCCCTGGTTGTGTGTGTGTGTGTGTGTGTGTGAATGCGAGTGAGTGAGTGAGTGAGTGAGTGAGTGAGTGAGTGAGTGAGTGTGTGTGAGTGAGTGAGTGAGTGAGTGAGTGAGTGAGTGAGTGAGTGAGTGAGTGAGTGTGTGAGTGAGTGTGTGAGTGAGTGAGAGAGTGAGAATGCGAGTGAGTGAGTGAGGAAGTGTGTGTGTGTGTGCGAGTGGAAGGCGAGACAAAGTGGAGGGGGAGGAAGGCGTCTTGTCTCCAAACACCCATCGACAACGGGGGCAATGGCACGAACCAGGGGCGCTCTGTGATGACGTGAGTAGTATCTGGAGCCATGTATGCGTCCACGCGGCCACCATAAGCCACCATGTACCGGGTCAGCTCCTTCAACAGCTTTGGCTGTGTTTTTGTGTGCATGCGTGCATGCGTGCGTGCGTGTATGTATGTGTGTGTGACAACGTGAGTTTTAGCTGATAAACTTGCAACACACACACACACACACACACACACACACACACGCACACACATACACACGCACACACATACACACACACACACACACACACACACACACACATACACACACGCACGCGCGCGCACATGCACACACACATGTACACGCACCTTGTCAAGCTGATAGAAGAAGACGTTGACGCCTGATAAGAAATCAGGCAGGTACGGCAGCTCTGTCCAAACCAGCACGCAACATCAACAAAACAAAGAAAAAGCACACGAAAAGTGAGCGCACGGCAGTGCTGGGCAGGATTACGCGCGCGAGTGCTGTCACAGAAAGCAGCAGTATCACAACAATGGACCACACACGCCCTTCGTGCCACCTTCATCTTCTGCGTCGTCGTCGTCGTCGTCGTTCTTGTCTGGTGCCGACACGGCGGTGGGGAGCGGAGGGGTGCGCGTTGTATCGCGTGCTGGTGCGGCCTTGTGAACGCCGCTGCCACTGCCCGCAGCATCTCCGCTGTCATGCACCTCATCCTCGTCCACGTCCGTGTCTGCATCGTACACGTCATCTGTAGTCGTCGTTCGAGCAACCGCTCCCTTCTGCACGCGCGGACAAGTTGCAAGTGAGGGTAGAATGGGATTGCACAACAGAGGGTGGTAGAATGGGATTGCACAACAGAGGGTGATGGGATTACACAGGAGGTGGGCCATGATAACTCGTGCCATCCTGCGCTTGCACCACTGTGCACACCACACAACACTGGCTACCTTGTCGTCGTCCTTCGCTGCCGGTACAGAGGATGCTGCGGGTGATGTCGGCTTGCCTTTGCGCAGTCGTTTCGCCAGCAGCGCTTCAATCTCATCGTCCGTGTCATCAGAATCACTGCTCAGGGTTTTCCGCGCGCGCGCGTGTGTGTGAGTGTGTGAGTACATGATGTAAGGTGTGCATGTGTGTGTGCACGAGTGTGTGTGAGTGAGTGCATATGTGTGTGTGTGTGTGTGAGTGCATGTGAATGTATGCGTGTATGTCAAACGTACTCGTCGTATCG